CATAGCTCCTAGGATCACTCGGGTACTCAAATCCCTCCACCACAATAAGGTGGCGGTTCAAGGAGGGGTCGCCAAGAAAAAGCGTGATCAAAAGTAAGACTGCACTGTAGATTAACTCTGGTGCATAAGAAGATAGTCTTTTTGTTCATGATGCACTAGATTGTTTGCTCATCTTTAATGGCCAGTTGTATCAGTTGATGAGTGTGGACTTTGTGTGCAAAAGCAGTTACACCCAGCAGTAGTGAAAGCATGGTGTTAAAATTATATTCGTCTGCTGCCCCCTGCAGGTGATGTCCATGGTCAGTACTATGATCTGCTCCGGCTGTTTGAATATGGAGGCTTTCCTCCAGAAAGCAACTACCTGTTCCTGGGTGACTATGTAGACAGAGGGAAGCAGTCACTGGAGACTATCTGCCTGCTTCTAGCCTACAAGATCAAATACCCAGAGAACTTCTTCCTCCTGCGTGGCAACCATGAATGCGCCTCTATTAATCGAATCTACGGCTTTTATGATGAGTGTAAGTGCCTGTTTAAAAAACAAAAAAAGAAACAACCATAAATCCTGTACTTTTGTTGTAATAAATTCTAATTTCTCCTCTTTTGTTGGCAGGTAAGCGACGGTATAACATTAAACTGTGGAAAACCTTCACAGACTGCTTCAACTGTTTACCTGTGGCTGCCATTGTAGATGAGAAAATCTTCTGCTGTCATGGAGGTAGGCCTTGTTAATGTTATGCTTCCCACATTAGATGATAAGAACCAAGCAAAGATGGGTGTATGACTTCTGCATATGCTCTCTCCAGGCCTCTCTCCTGATCTTCAGTCGATGGAGCAGATCCGTAGAGTAATGCGGCCCACAGATGTGCCTGACCAGGGTTTGCTGTGTGACCTGCTGTGGGCTGATCCAGACAAAGATGTGCTGGGCTGGGGTGAAAATGACCGTGGTGTCTCCTTCACATTTGGGGCAGATGTGGTGGCCAAATTTTTGCACAAACATGACATGGACCTAATATGCAGGGCACATCAGGTAATGTTTCCTGGTTACTGTGAATGGATTAAAATCCAGGAGGCCTTGTGCCCCTGTTAACTGAAGCTGCCTGATTTGTTGTCTTCTTTCATTTTTGTGCCAATGGAATAATGGTGTGTTAACTCAGCAAAATGGCACAGCTATAAATTCTGCCTTTGCAAAGATAATGTTTAGTTTGGCTTCTCACTTCCAGCTGGACACAAATGGTACCAAGAAAGCAGTTGACTGACTGACTGACCCTTTTTTGTTGTTTTGCTTTAGTTGGGTAACACTGTGTGCAGTATTCACTCTCTCATTTCTCTCCTCAGGTTGTAGAAGATGGTTATGAGTTTTTTGCAAAGAGGCAGCTCGTCACTCTGTTCTCAGCTCCCAACTACTGCGGGGAGTTTGACAACGCTGGTGCCATGATGAGTGTGGATGAGACGCTCATGTGCTCCTTCCAGGTGTGTTAGTGCTTTTCATCTGGTAAAGAAAAAACTTTGCTTGGCGCTTATTGTCTTTTTTTTTTTTTTTTTTTAAAGTTTTTACCTTTATCACTTTGGCTACAGTTTTATTCTGAATACTGAAAAAGAGGTATCTCTACTGTGAATCATTACGAGTGTAGTAGAAAGTGTGTCTTTCTGTAAAACTAATGGAGAATTTTTGTGTCACTCAGATTCTGAAGCCAGCAGATAAGAAATTATATCCTTATGGTGGAGGGGGAGGAATGGGATCTGGGAGACCGGTCACCCCGCCACGAAATTCAGCCAAGGCCACCAAGGCCAAGAAATAACACCCAGTTGGACCCCCTCCAGTAACCTGCCACCCCCTGTTGGCCCAATGCTCTTTTTTTCCTCTACCTCCCAAACTTGTTTCTCCCTCGTCACTAAAAGGCAACAAAGCAAACAAGTGTCCAGGGTTCGATCATGTTTTTCTCTCTAAAACAATTTTTAACTGTTTGGCTGTTTGCGTGCAGTTATTGTGTGTGTGAGTAAAAAGTGAGAATGCTACAGAATCATTGTATTCTGTGTGTTTCTTTTGTCTTCTCCTGTTCTGTTTTCCTTTTTAGAGATGGGCTCTGGCCCATTTGTGGTATAAATCCAGTCCTAGGCGCAGGGGAGTAGGGGGAGTCATGACTGTTTATGCTAAGGCCCTGCACTGTTTAATGTTAAACAAGCTTTTGTACATCCTGTTTCAGACGTCTGTGTTTGTCTGTGAGATGGGTGGGAAGGGAGTGGGATCAAATCACACCGTCAAATGGTAACGGCACATACCACACACTGGGTGCACTGGTGTATATATGTGTGTGCAGGTGAATCCACATACGTATATAATGAATAATGAAATTGATTCACAATGAGAACATTTTTTTCTCTTCCCCTTTGAGAACCAATGATTTGAGAACTCGGTCATTAATGTGAAATAGTTTTGCTTCTTTTTTTTATGTAGATACATGAAACCGGCATGGTTTGCTTTTTGTTTTGTTTTTTTCTTTTTGGCTTGTTTTTTGTTCACTGAAAGTTGATAAATAAAAGTAACCATTTATTTGAATCATGCCATCATGTTGATCACTTTGTGTTTGCCATTGCTTTGTCCTGTCTGTTAGCGACCTTTGCCACACATAGTAGCTAAATTTGTAGAAGCTGGAAAGTCTCATTTGGCCCAGTTTACTTATTGTTTCAACAAAGGGGCATTTCACATGTTGCTTCAGTGTGATCTAGCCAAAGATAATGTTTAGTGGAGGTGTAGAACTGTAGGAGAGGACAGGCCAAAGCTGATTTCAGAAGTACCAGTTTTTAATCACAAAAATCAGTTGTTGACTAGGGACATCTTCACAATGTCAAATGTTTACTTTTTCAAACACAAATGACTGTGGGTGGAGCATTTGGTGAATTTGAGCAGCAATACTTGACAGGAGCAGGAGGTGAGGGGGTTTGGTCACTGAACTTATGTTGCTCAGTGTACAAACATTGAGGGAGATACAGTATGACAATGCTCAGTATGATCAAATACTGTATGTTCACAAGTAAATGGTGCATTTAATCTCCTTACTCAGAGCACAGTATATACAAGATGCCTGCTTAGGAGAAAAGTGGCTTAAAGGGTTTCCACATATTTTGTTGTGATCAAAGGTAAAACTATGAAAGAGAGATGAGAGAGTGAATCACTGCTCTGACCTTTGCAGTTTGAAGTGCTGTAGTCAAGGCCACTTCATTTCAGTCTGTGAGGGAAACACAGAGTGGCTTTACCTAAATCTAAACCCATGTCATGCAAGTTAAACCCGGGTAAAGAGAGCAGTGTTTGAATAGCACTAAGTAATAATTTTTTATGTGGAAGTTCTCTAAACCTGATGGGGAATGTGAGTACTATAAGACAAACCCAGTAATCACAATAATGTACAGTATATCCCCAGTGAATCTAGCTTATAGTTTTACTTGCAACATCAGGTAGGTTCCAGGTGAATAGATAGCAATTCAGTAAATCATTGTGTATGCATCATAGATTGTGATATGTAAATATAATGACACAGAATAAGAATCTTTTATGACTTCATGCCATAAATGGATCACCGCCACTGTGTGTTAAGTTCATTTGGCATACAGGGTGTCCCCAGTGACAGCAGGCCATAGTTCAGTACAGGCTGTTGCAACTGGTGAAAACATACTTTTTTTCCTACAGTATTTCAGGGTAACTCTCCGTCCATTTCTGATAACCCACACACAGCCTCCCCCATTACATAATTAGTGTGTCTTTTTTTTAGTGCTCTGCCTTCTGTCCTCATCCGTCAGCGCTCTGTCCAAGTATGAGCAGATGCAACCGTAGGTCTCTAGATTGCAAACCTAGTACATATTGGTCAAGTTGTGTATAGTGCTTAAGCATGTACTTAAGCAGAGGATGGGGAAGGTGGAATTCAGCTGTCATTCTGCCCCACCTTTTCTCCCTCCATTTTCTCAACCAGAGGGTTCCCACTTAGCACCTCCAGAAAATGTTTTTTTTAGTCAATATAAGTACAGCTTATTTAGAATCTTGCTATGCTTTCTACTAATTTGCATAGACTGCAACTCATAACTGCATCAGGTATTAGGGAAAGGTGGGCAGAAGAGAAAAAAAATATTGGACTTGTGAGCTCATGTTCAATCCAGTAAGATCAACTCAGGAAGTGAACATTTAAATTAAAAAGTTCAATGGTATAATTCATATACTAAGAAAAATACTGTATATGCATCAGCACAATTATTATAGAATATGTATAAGTCAGATAACATGCGGTTTGTGTTTATATTCTAAGGTGGATAATGATATGTTAGTTGAGCCCAGCTTTGGCATGTTGGTGAGTCTGTGGCAGAACATTGTTCAGAGTGATATGCTGCTTAAAGACACTTTATTTAGATGTGCAAATGCTACTGATTGACCTTTTTGTGGATACAGTTAAATAAATGTATGATTTAGAAAGACATCTGAACATGTACAGACATTTATGATATTAAAGTCTAATAGCATGAGAAAAGTGAATATGAAGTTGCGGAGGTAATCCCTAATGGAGAGAGTCTTCAACAGTGGCTGCTGCAATAGTTAACATCATGCTGAAAAACATGGAACTTGTAGATATCTGTCATCTGGTCCAACAAAGGCCACTTCCATTCCCATTTCCACAGCTGTACAAACACCTGCTTAAAGATTTTTGTAACTGTTACTCTATATTTACTGTTATTACCTCTAAGAATCTGTTCTTTTTTGTTCATATTGTTTTTATTGACAAATTTAATGCTAGATACATGCAAGCTTATTAGTGCAGGATTTTTTAATCTATCAGGGATGTTCTGCACCGCACTGTTGTTGGGTAGATATGAAATTGTTAGATTATTACAATTAAGAATAAAGACATCAGAATTTAACAGTATTTTTTATTTATATTACATTTGTTTTCAAAGCAATCACAAATTGTCTCTGTACCAAGGTAGAAATAAAACATAGAATTTGTATTTTTGCGTCTGGTTTTCTTTTCAGATGTGCCTGCAAGATGAGAAATACTAACATTTCACATTCACTAGAAATTTGATCATATAGCAACCAGCTGTTTGGAAAGAAAATATAGTATTTTTTGTGCCCTAAGGGTGAATGTTTTTTCTTCTCATTTTTTCTGCAGGCCATACCCACCATCTACCAAACTTCAGCATGGGTCAGTAGCACGGGTGGCCAAATGATAACAAATGTAGTTAAAATTGAAGTCAGATATTAAACAGATCTTGTTTGGGAACATGAAATAAGAAAAAATATTGACACTGTGGTTTCTATTATAGTCTAGTTGGTTATTATTGGATAAGGTACTATACTAATAGGAACCTAAGTCACTTTTATCAACAAATACATAGGAAACATTAAACAGCACTAGTTTCTAATGAAACCCCTGGTGGATGAGACCTTGCCATGTACCTGCAACATTCCCATCAGGCGGTGGAGTGCTGGCTCTACTGCGTGATGGTCCAGTAAATTTATAGCCGGGCAGCCTGACCCTCTCTACTATGAGGTGTTAACTCATAAATCATCCTACTGATTTATGAGTCATTGAGTGTTCACCAAACAGTAATATCACATGCTATGTGTAAAGTGATTCTAAGTGAACAGCTGATTATCTTATGCTCCAAGGAAGTGAAAGATAAATGGACTGGTCTAAAGTAGGCCCATTATTATTATCTGTGGTAGATGAATTCAGTCAGCCATATAAAATACATTAGCTGCATCTTTCTGGTAATAAACTGATTGGTACTTTCCACTTCAAGTCCTTGGAGATTGCCATCTCTGGGAGTGTCATTGCCTTGGTGCCCTCCCTGTAAAATCTGCAGTACTTTGGACTGTTTTCCAGTTAAAACCTGTCCTTGGTGGTGATGGGGGTTGCAGAGGGATTCTCAATTCTCAACAACAACAATTGAGATGCACTGTTGGCAAAACCCCATTTTTTCTGCCTTCTGTTCATCCCCAGCTTTGGATAAATATCTCATGAAGGTTGATTAAGCTGCAGAGTCTGAGTGTTAATTAATGAATGTAGAGGGATTCGTTAATTTGTAAATTCTAAAATAGATAGGACATCAAAGACTTAAAACACAGCTCCTATGTATTCCACAGTATTCATGCAAAACAATATAATGTGGCGAGCTAGTGGGCTCACGGGATTCTGCCAAGGAATGACACTGAAGTCAGTCTTTTAATGTAGACTTCTGTGCCCCATACACCACATGACCCCGAAGAGCTGCTGCTTTTTATTAACAGAACAGATCACTGAACACATACTTATATACATGCAATCTCCTCCCAAAAAGAACCTGCAAACTGGAAACATATCCCGCCAACCCATGGTTTCCACCCCACAAAACACCTGCTAAGTGGGCAACCACACCAGTCCTGCCCTCTGGGCATGTCTATGTGTGTGTCCATGGTGCTCCCCTGGCTCCCCTTGAATGACAGTACAACGGTCAACTGCTTCATGTTGGAACTTCGTTGACCCCTCTCCCCTGTTTTTATACATCAAACACAGTAATCAAACACACTTGTATTCTGAACTTTGATCAGTTAAAAAACACATGAATTTGCTGTGTTTGACTCAAACATTTCCATTTATGGGTATTATTCAAGTATTTTATCTATGCGTCTTGAACCTCTAATAATAACTGGCTTATAATAAAAGCTGTATGCTTAACCCTGTTTTACCGTATGTAAATTATAATTAATTGCCCATACCAAATTACCATAGCAAGTACCTCTCAGAAACACTAGTCCAAAAATACTGAGCTCATTACTCATAATTTTATGCAAATAACCGTTAATAACACTCTCATCCTTAGATATCTAATTTACAGTACAGACGCTGATGATGTGTGGTTTCCTGTTGAGAGCAGCCTTACTGCACACTGGCTGTGTAACTGATTCTGTGAAATGCTTTCCTGCAGCTAAACAGAGGCCACTTTAATCCGAGGAAATACTCACATCTGCTCTGTTATCAACAAATAAACCTAACATAAAAACAACCCAATTCTGACCATTCACGGAGCTTATAACACGGAAGTGGGTTTGATTAGTAAAATTCACCTTGACCTCAGCGAATAAGCGCAAAGTGGGGCGTGGTCAATAATAGTTTGGTTGCACGGGACATCGCTAATCAACTTTTGCTAGTAGACGAGCCTTTTGCAAAGCTAGTTAGCTAGCTTCATAACATATATATTTTACGGTCGTTTGTCGTTGTATTTTCTGTATTTATGTCTTTTGAAATCCATACTTGGATTTGTAGTCGTCAATAAACCAACAAATTACTGAAGTGACAAGGAGACTCCATTTTCGTATGCCGCTGGCTAGCGATAAGACGGTGGAAAGCTAGTTGGTTATGTTGTTAGGCTAGGCTAGGCTAGGCTAACTTAACTTTCCTTGGTAGGTGAAGTGGAGTGGGGAGTTTTGCGATAAATTGTTTATCTGACGATACATTCGTTGACTACAGAAGACTCCCAGGTAGGCTTTCGAATAACGTTTGCCCAGTATACACCACCGGGAGAGGTTATTGGCTGACCGTGCCTGGGGTTCATCAATGCTCTGTTGCAGTGGTGTTACGTTAGCTGCACGACTGCTACTGCTATCATGGTGTAGTGCGCGGCTGATAACCTAGCATATTTTCCCAGCAAACTGACAAGCTAAGCTAATGTACCATGGAAGCTAACGTGAACCAAGTCACTTTCCTAACGTTACTCACACGTAACGTTATCCTTGTGCAGTGCAAGTATGATATATAGAATGTAAATAAAGACCGGCTTGCATGACGGCGTTATGAGATTATTTTAGCAAGTGAGTAAAATGTTATGCTAATGTTATGCACATTAGCAACTGGATCTGCAGAAATGCACAGTTGATAGATGATTGTGGTTTGTTATGTTGTCATAACGTTACTTTGACCCCTGTGATTGCAGCATGCTGATGGTGGGAGGCAATGGACGGATGCACTAGAATGAGTGTGAAGGAGCTGTGTGAGACTGATGATCTGGCCACCAGTTTGGTGCTGGACCCACTGCTGGGCTTCAGCACCCACAAAATGAACATCAGGTAATCAGGGTCTTATTAACACATCTGTATTTAAACAGTTGTTTATTAATCATCTCTCTTTGGGCTCCACATCTACACACTACATACTATCTACAATATAACAGATTGTTTGCACCTGGTACTCTTTATAGATTGTATCTCGGAAGCAGTAAAATTACAAACACTACACCACTTTGACATGAATACATCGATATCATAGAAAAATATAATTCCATCAAAAACATCAAATAATATAACCTCCTCAAGTGAGGGCAGTGTTGGATTTAGGGCTGTAACTAACAACTATTTTAGCAATTGGTTATTTCTACAATTGAGCTGGTGTATGAAAACATGCATAAACCAATTTTCCACACTATGAATACAAAAATGCATTCATGCTTTTGCAAAATTTCTATACAGTGCATTATTAAACAAGCAATAAATGGTGCAAAAACAGCATTTTATAAAGGGCCCACTAGGTCCTTACAATTTTAGCAAAACACTGAAATGTTTTTATGATTTAAAATAATGTATAAGTTCATAAAACGTATCATGCTAATATAAAGGGCCAGTGAAACATGACTGCTACTACTGATGGTTAAAAGTAAATTTAAGTATGCCTAAACAATCCTCAACACATTTAATCTGCAGTACTCTGCACTATCCCCATTCTCTTGCATATATGTCATCAGTGTTCCTGAACACACCTATATAACTTAGGTGAATGCGACACATAACCCATTGTTGCGTTCCTAAATATATAAACAGCATCGTAGTATACGTAACAACATAACCGCATTACTTGAAATGGGGTACCTCATAATTTTTATTTCAGAATTTGTTACAAGTTAACAAGTTAGTTCTACTGTCTGAGTTCTAAAAAAAGAGGGAGAATGGCCATGTATGCCCTTCCATCTTGCAGGATAATGCTCTAGCCAATGATATACATTTTTTTGGCTCATGATGTGATTGATGCTCTGCCTCCAGTGCCTTGTGGCTGCAGGTCACGTACATGTGTGATGTATTATGGTTCTGTGCAATTCCTAGTTCTGTTGTTTTGATTATGTAAAATATACATGGTGATGCATTCTGCTAAAATCTTTATGTGCTGTTATCTTCTTCTCTGTCCTCTTTAGCCCCCTGCCTGAGATTCGGCGATGGGGTAATCTTAAAGAGACTCTGTTACGCTTTCAGCGTACACGTGACTTCAGTGCAACATTTGAGGCACTGACAGTGGGTGAACTGGCTGGTGACTACTTCAATTCTTTGGGAAGCCATCGACAGGAACTGCTGAGACAACATGTAGGCTGATGTTTAAGTTTACAGATGAGTATAAATATAAATTATAATGTCTCTCAAAATCACTACTTAATACGTTTTTAGAAAAAATGCATAAAACTAGTGTTTATTCTTGGAAGTCTCCCTCTTTTAGTATGTGTTTTATGTTCATAGAAACCTACCTTTGCAGTTTGTCGGTTGAATGTGAGAACACCATCTAAACTTCCTATGATACTTGTAGGTCTATCGCTACCTCAGTGCCTTCCTGTTGGATAGTGGTGTCAAGCTAGAGTCCTGTGACAGATACTCCTCAGAGACCAATGGAGCAAAGATAACCTCAACAAGGCACTGGTAATCACAATTTTAATATTTAATTTTTCCAGATAGCATGTAGCTCAACAACAACTGCTGCTGTTTTTTTTTTTTTTTTTTTTTTTTTTTTTTTTTTTATGTGTATACGTATACGTATTGCAGATATGTGACACTTGAAATGTTTCTGTTGCAGGTTTGCTGGAGAGCGGGTGGAGGTCCTGCTGGGCTGTATAGCTGAGCTGAGCCCTGCTGATGGCACTGTGCTGAGAGCAGGAGTCAATGACTTCAGTGTGATGTATTCCACACGCAAGCGCTGCGCTCAACTCTGGCTCGGGCCTGCAGCTTTCATTAACCATGGTGAGTTTGCTTGCTTACATTCATGAATCATTCTTTCCCAGTACACACATACATACAGATGTACCAATTTCAAATTTTCAAAGCTGATAGGAGTGCTCACCTGTGAGGTTGATTGGAGCATTTCACCAGGATTACATTTTTTAAAGGCATAAATTTCAGTGAAAAGTATTCCAAATACCAACGTTCAGAACACTACATTGGAAGCTGTTATCACTTTTAAACAATAAAAATAATAAAAACTATAATAACTAATAATGAAAACGTTTATTACATGAAGTCACAGCCCACAAGAAAAGTCTTTACTAAATGATTCTCTGATGCTAGTTGATTACTGACATTACTAAAGAGGCCTGTAATTTCAGTTATGAAAGTCATAAATACATTTTTATAATATAAAATTCACCTTTTTTGTTGTATATCCAAGTATGTGTGAATGTGTCAATCAGGTAGTTCATTGATTAGTCATTGATTAGAAATTAGTCACACCAGTTTGATAACTGATTAATCATTTAGATAAACATTTACTGCTTCCAGCTTTTATACTTGGAAGTTTAAGTAATCTTTATAATGATCTAATATTATAGTCATTATTGAAGATTTTTAGGTCTGGGACTGTTGGTTGAACATAATTTTCTGGGGCAGTGGGAAATTGTGGTGATATATTTCATTACTGACATTTTTAAAGATTAATGTTTAATCACGGAAAAAGATCAGTAGAGTAATCATTAATGAAAATTAATGTTAACTGAGCACAAGCAGCTTCCTTTTCATGGACCATGTGCCCATCAGTAGCGTGAACTGTAATGTGTACAAAAGCTCCAGTGAGAGAATTCTTCTGTCGAGTGCCTACTCAGAGGGCAGTTTTTGACAAGATCTTATAATGATGTTTGGGAGTTAATCAGCTTAGCCTTTTAGCCTTTGCAAAATGAGTTCAGTACAAGATCAAGAAGATGTTGAGTCCCTCATGTATTGCTTTGGTTGAAGTAATAACTTAAGATCTTTTATCTGTTTGTTTCTTTGTCTGTCCTTCGGGGGGAAAGACTGCAAACCAAACTGCAAGGTAATCAGCAATATTAATTTATCACATCCACAGAAGACATCTGACAAATCGAAATGTTTTGCTCTGACAAATTCTTACATATTTTTCATAATCTAGTAAAAAAATTTTCACTGTGAAATTTAGCATATTGAAAATGTTATTTTGGGTACAGATTGACACTCCCCTTCTGTTTCCTAACTGCTGTGTTTTATCCCATGGGGAGACCAACCTTTGTCTTTTGCTTTGTTTTTTTCTGTCTTTTTTTTTCACCCTCCTCCAGTTCGTCCCTAGTGAGAAGAATATCGCTTGTGTTGAAGTGATTCGACCCATCTCACCTGGGGAGGAGATCACATGTTACTATGGTGCCAGCTTTTTTGGCGAAGGCAATGAAATGTGTGAATGCTGCACCTGTGAGAGGTGTGGTCATCATTGGCTCTGACATAGTCTTTAATTTATCCTTTTGAATATATATATATTTTTATCAGAAATGAACAATCTGGTAGCCTTTTTAACTTTTTTTTTTAAATTTTAACTGTTCTTTAGAAATGGAGAGGGTCACTTCAAACACAGAGGGAAACAGCCTGAATGTGAAGAAACAAAGGACTCTGTGGGCCAAAAGTACCGCCTGAGAGAAAGATATCTTCGTCATCACAGAGAGAAGGGTCACTTTCCTGCCAAGCCGATTATACCAGGAATTCACTCAGGTATCTTTAAAGGTAACCGGTTTAGGATTTTCTCTGAAATGATCGTTCTCAAGTCAGTTATTATAGTGTAGTAAATATTGACAGTCATCCATTTCAAAACACAGATCTGCATTTCTGTCTTCCTAAAAGCCCCGTCATCCCCACTGAAGAGGCTGAAGGTTAAACATGAATATTAGTTGTACAATGCAGTAATGTCAAGAATTACCGCTTGTAATAGTAAGAACTCGACAATGTGCTCATCAGTTCAGTGGCAGTGAAAGCCTTAAGGACAGCCAGTCCTGCTGGTTCATTAGGGTCTACTCAGCTCAAACATTTGTACAAACCTTGCTGGAATTCCATTAAAAAAAAGAAAATAAAACTACATCATAATTTAGATAAGACATATGTTAAATATAGATTTCTAAAAGTCAGATTTCAGCATTTGCCTATTATATTACCTCACAAGTTGCTTTACCGTTAGGAAACCTGCGAAGCACAGTGATCTCAGTATTTCTAAATTAAATGTTTGCAGATCTATGAATAGTAACTATGATTTGGGAATTGTTTCTACAAATGTTTTCTTGTATTTTTAGTGGGGTGTTATGCCACCTGAGCTGACTTCTGTAGCAACAGCATGCAAACAGTTATTGTGAAGCTTTAATTATGTCAGTTTTCAAATACTGAAATTGTATTACTGTAATGTTAATATCAGAAAGAGAGTGAGCTTTTTAGTGTGTAACATAGAATTAAAGGTAAAAATCAGAAAGGCCTTTACACCGTTTTGATATGCTGCTGAAAATTTAAGTCCATTAGACATTAGGCTGTGTGCTAAGAATGAATGAGACATCGACTCACTGATCCACCTGACACTAATTTATACTATGCAATAAATTGCTGACAGAATTGAAAATTAATGTAAAACAATTTAACGAACTGGTTACTTGGTCCCTGTTGATGTGTCTACACAGTCAGGTTTCAGCTTACAGTCTGAGTTTGTTCACTCATATCTATATAGCTGGTTTATTTTTCACATATTTCTATAGCTGCTGTTCAAATTAACTTGCTTTTCAGGTTCTACTTATGTAGAATTAAACATACACACAAGCAGAAACAATGCCCTTTTATAGAGCTGCTTAAGTTCAACTGCTTCTTTGTTGTTGTCTTTCATTCATAGCCATCCCCTCAAGAAATTCCTTTACCCAGCAGATGAGGAGAAATGCATTGAAGAACAGAAAACTTAGTCAGACAAAGAAGTGGAGACGAGAGAAGCACAGAAGGTCAGGAAAACACCCTTTGAAATCCTCCACAGTCAACCAGCGTCAGACAGTTCCATTTTTGTCTCAAGTTACGCTGAGGGACCTCAAAATCAGTGTACGGCGCCACTCGGTGGATTTCTTAATCAGTTGCAAGGATCCAAACAGCAAGGAAAGGGCCTTGCTGCAGCAACTGGAGGCAGTGAAGCCAAAAGATAACAGGCTGAGAGAACTGAATTTAACTCCTGAGGAAAGTAACAGTAGTAGTGAGGTAAACTTAAAGCCTTTTACTCTAAATTCCTCCATGTCAGTTCATCAGAAAAATACACCTGCAGTAAGTTCTGCAGGTCCTAATGGCAAGTCTGTCAAAATTGTGGACAGACAAGCTGTTCACATGAGGACCTCTTCAAGAACAAGGAGCACGGTTCACACCACGCTCACACATCAGACAACTAACACTACAACTATGTGTCACTCTGCTAAGACTGACAAAACCTCTAGTGCAATAAAACAAGAGAAGATTGAAAAAGAAACCACAGAAAGTCAAACCGACAAGTGCTGTGGTGCTCAATCTTGCATCATCGACGTGGCTCAAAATCCAGCTGTGGAGCAAGCAGAGAATAAGCCTATCGGAGCATTACCCTTTTTAGATGTTGGTCGGAGTGTCACAGATGGATCAAAGAAAGCCAGGGACACTCCACCAATATCACTGAAGCAATACCTTACAGTCAACCTAACAAGGTTATCAGTGCCACAAAGTGTAGAAACAGAAAATACCTCTGAAGACAGAAACGGAAGAGTGGAGGTGAGACAAAGGGGCAGGCGGAGCAAGTGTCCTAGATCAGCAGCTCTGACAGTACAGTCAGAAAAAAGAGTGTCCAGATTTCAGCAGAGGCAGGGAGGAGGATTGGAGACTGGCACAGCTGAAGGTAACAGAGGGGTCAGGGAAATGTTTTTCAAGGCCATTGATAAAGTAAATGCAAAAGAGCAACATCCAAGTGAAACTGCAGGTGATTTATCCCACAGCGAGAACAGGGGGAATGACAAAGTTATCGAAATACAAACCGTGCCAGAAGAAGAAAAAAGCTGTGTACAAAAGGAGCAGCAGGACATTGAAATAGGCAAAAATGAAAGGCTAAAAGAAAAGAGAAATGTTGCATCGGTGGATATGAAATGTAATAGTAAGAGATCCTTAGAGGAAGTGAAAGAGTCTGAATGTAAAATAGTGTCCAGTGAAAAAACTACAGGGCAAAATAACATCCAGTCTGTTAAAATTAAAGTCAAAGATGCATGTAAGGAGGAAGTAGTTGCTGAACTGTCGGAACAAACGGGTAGGAGCCTGAGTAAGCAGCCAATAGGTAGGCATGAAGAAGATATTGTCATAAAGCAGGCAAAGGTTCTGCTATCTGATATTTTTAAAAAAGATAAGCCCTTAAGAGATGAGGGATTAGAGGGAGATATTGTAGGAAGAGCCTCTTCTCCTTTGACCTCTAAGGAAATGCAAAATGCTGAGGGGGGAGCAGAAGTGAGCGAAATTAATGGAGGCAGGTGCCAAAGTTCAGTGCAGAGGAGGATTATGAGAAGACGAAAAATTGGACCTAGAGCACTAAAGACAAAAGCAGAAGGTAAGCAAAGCACCAAGAGACACTTGAGCCAAGATGTTCCAGCTAAGACTGAGTTGAGTGAGGATAGTTTGCCACTTCAGTCACTGGGGCATAATGACTCGCTGGCCACCTGCCTCAAACCACTACCTCATAAGTCAAAAGCTACAACTACTCTGCATCCAGACACCAATCCGCAGGCACTCATGCAGTCCAACATACCTCTGAAGAAACGCACATTTCGCAGTTCTGTGGAAACTGACTCTGAACAAGGTTTGACTTCTGCTTTGGAACAAGCTTCTAAAGAAGCTACTGAATTAAATTCATTAACGGTGCCGAGTCGGGACCTTAACCAGGGTACAGTGGAGAGTAGCAGAGTGAGAAGAGAGACTAAAAGCAAATGTAGAAGATCAGCACTTCAGAGTGTAACCCCTAAAAGGACCATGAAACAAAATTCCTTGAACAGAGTGCTTCACTCCAGATCTAATGAAGCTCTGCGAGGACATTTACTGAGGAAAGGCCGAAAGCGTAAAGCAGAGGGGCAAGACGAAGATGATGCTAATAAGCTTGGAGAGGACAAACAAGCTTGTCCTGCTGCAATCCAAGAGCAGTGTGATAAAGATCCAGATAAATATCAAGCGAAAGATGAAGGGAAAAGATTAAACCAGCAAAGTGATTTGGAGGACACAAAGTCGGGCCTTAATTTTAAGATTCGTTTCAAAAGAAGGAGGGGGAAAGTATGGGAGATGCAACGTGCTGGAATTGAAAATATGACTTTAAAATCAGAGAAGAGAGATGAATTGGTTGTATGTGATCCTTTTAAAGCCATCATGGATTCTGTATCAGTTTTAAACATGGAGATGGAGGCAGCTCAGGCTCATGTGCAGGCTAGTAAGAAGTCGAAGAGCAGACTGCATCGTTTGAAAAAAAGAGGTGAGAAGCTGAGTGAAAGGCAAGCTTTATATTTCTCCTCAGGCACAAAATCAGGCAAAGTCCAAGACCTTAAAAATGTTGAAAATGCATGCAAAACCAGTCTATCTACTCGAGACAATGTAGAAAAGAAAGTGAAGCATGATGGGGAGCTTCAGGTGGGAGTCGGGCAGCTGCCGGAAAAAATGGAGAGTTTGAAAAATGAGAGGGAATCTTTTACAGCTGCTTGCCTGGAAACAAAAACTGAAGATAGTTTTTTAAAGAGCTGCTGCGTGATGGAAACTGGGTCACAACAGAAAGAGGAGCCTGAGCTGGATTTAAATGGTCTTCCGTTACCAGTAATTAAACTACGCAGAAAGATTGAGGATATTTGGGAAGTGGACAGCAAAGAGGAGCTTATACAAACTGAGCTTAAGGTAGAGCCCAAAGTTAAAAAAGATGTGAAGGGTCACATTTTAGCGAAAGAAAAGAAAGAATCTCGTGATTGTTGCAAACTCAAAGATGAGTGCCCACCCTCTCAGAGGCCGAACAGCAACCCTGCAGTTCTGAAAACAGAACCACCACCATTTTCCTTGTCTCTTTCACCACTCTCTCTGTCTTCCCCTCTTAATGACAGTAAAACTGAAGCTATATCCCAAGCTGCAGATAGAATCACTGAAAGGCCAGACATGAACAGTGGAGGAAGGAAGCAGAGGCACAAAATGGAGAGAACACGCAACTGTGGGCCTGTGGAAACACCCACCACTTGTCTTAGTCACACTCTCCAACAAATTGACAATAGCCTCTCTAGGCTCTCTGAGGGCTTGTGTTCATCTCAGACTTTGGAAAAGCCAGCGATCTGTACCAATGCATCAGTCATCCAGCCCCCCTCCCAGTCTCCTCCATTCACAACTGCAGATAGCATACTTTCCAGTGAGCCAAGCTTCACAAACTGCTGTGATGATATTTTGGACTTTCAGTGTCTCAACTTTGAGGGATATTATCAGCCACAGAACATACTTCCATCTTCTCCATCTGATCTCTGTTCACTGGATCCCCCCACAGATCCTTTCAGCAGTCCCCTCTCTCACAGCCCATCTGATACATGGACCACTGAAACACCATACCTTGGCCCTCCCAGTCCAGGAAATAACTTTACCAGTGAAGACCTGCAGTTTTTTCCAGGTTTAATTTCTTCCAAAAGTGATTCTGTTCCTCTGGAATGTGAAGTGAAGGATACCTCCAGAGACAGAAGCGCACCCAACCCCAGTTTCAGTTTTTCAGTTCTCAGCAACTCTGACTTGACCGCCAAGGATCGAATTATGACTAAAAATCCAGGAATGAAACTGTCCAAAGAAGAACTCAGAACTCAGTCTTTGCCTGTAGTTGGCAAGTCTCGGTTGTTGGGTGCAACATCATCTTCTCTTACATCTCAAAATTCTGCTACCCAGCCCTCCATCAACCTCAAGCCGAGCACCAGCCAATCAAAAGCCCAGACTAACCTTAAAACCCAGGGCCCTTTCCACCGTATGAGCATTCCTAATAAATCCCATTCTTTTCTAGGTAGTCAGCCAAACACAGTTAGAGGAGTGTCCCAGAGCTGCTTAACTAAGCCTGTCCCGTCATCTCAGTTGCCTAACAAATTCCTCTCTCCTCAGCTCTTCACTGTGAAAAATCAGAATCCTCCTGACAATCCATTCAACTTCCAAACCTCTACGGCTATTCACAGGGTGCTTAAGTATCAGGGGGGTAACCAGAGTCAGAACTTGTATAGTGCACCTTGTAAAGACATCACGGCTGCTGGCAGCCCGATGGTCATGTCCAGAACACTTGGTGCAAAATCAGGTGCTATTGCGAAAACACAGCACAGTCAGAAACGCAGTTTTAATGTAGACAGTCATCATAAAGGCGACGTTTCTGTTCAGGGGTTTGGAAAGGATATGGCTCATCTTGGTTCTTCCAGTAACCCCAGCAGATCCAGCTCTCATTTCAACAAACTCAACACTGCTTTCCCTCAGTCTTTTGCTAAAAGTAAGATGTCACCTGACAAAAGCGATGAAACAAACATGACTTACAAAAACTTTTCTACGTTGCCAAGACCCTTCTTCTTTCCTAGCAAAGTGTCTGAGGGGTATTCATCACCACAAGACAAGAGATCCACTCCACTGACCTCAGACAAAAACCAGCCTTGTTACAGTCAGCAAGATCCTTTTGATTTCAGTTTTGGCTCATCTCTGTCTTCAGTGTCACAGCATAACAGCCCCCAGGCTGCCCACAGTACACCACCTGGTACTC